CATGGGGACAGAACGGCGAGAGAAGGGGGCACGGCCTGCCTGGCCCCGCGCCTGTCCCGTCGCTGCCCCGAGGGCTGAGCCCTGCTCCCTGTGCTCGGTGGCCGTGCTGAGCTCCAACGCCGCTGCTGGGGCTCAGGCCCGTCTGCCCGGCAGATGTGGCTGTGCTTCCCTGTGCTGGGATAGCCGCTCGGCTGCTCTGGAGGTGGGTGTTGCCAGGGCCCAAAGCCGCTGGGAATCCCTGTCCTCCCACTCAGCCCCAGCCGGGAGCAGGACTGGGACCTCGGGGCCCGCAGGATGGACAGACTGTCCCACCTGGGCAGCACTGACACGGCTGCTTGGGAAGGTGCTCCGGGGATGCTGTGGCACTGCTGGGCCGAGGGGGCAGGGGGCCCCTTGGTGTGGGGCTGAGCTCAAGGGACAGGGGAACAAAGGGTTTGAGGTAGGGCCGAGTTTGGGGTCTGTGCTCCAGGCAGTGCTTGTGGAAGGGTCCCAGAGGCTGGAGGGGCCACCCCATTCCACAGCATGGGTCAGCCTGACCCCTCTGCCTGCCTGGGGCTCTGGGAGCTTGACCCAGCAGGGTGGGCAGCAGCGAGGGGACGGCCCAGGCTGCTTTCCAGGTCACAGGCAGCTGCTGGGTTTGACAGGCCCCAGGGCTGCAGGTCAGGAACAGGACGGGGTCAGCAGGACATGGCTTGTGGCTGGCAGTGGTGAGGCTTGGGCTGCATGTTTCTGCCCCTCCAGCCCTGAGCACCAGCCTGGGGGTACATCTGGGGCACAGGGGCTGCAGGAGGATGAGTCTGTGCCCAGCTGGGAAGTGCCCCCTGAGAGCCTGGCACAGCCTTTCCCCCCGCTGCCATGGGACAACAGTGCTGTGTGGGGCTGGGGAAGGCACTGCTTGCAGGATGGAAGGGGCTGGCGTTGGAGCCCCGTGGTGTCGGCCGTGGGAGCATGACCAGCTGCTGACCACGGGGGTGGGGCAGTGGCACAGTGAGGGGGGCACGGAGCAGCTTTATGGGCACCCAGCTCTCCTACCTGGGCTGGGCTGCACCCACCCCCTTCCCAGCCGCCAGGCCCAGCAGTGCCGGTGAGTGCCTGATCCACCACTGTCCCCTTGCCCTTTCTGGTGCCAGGGTCTTGGCCAGCCACGCAGAAGTGTCAGGGTTTCCTGAGGTGCCCAGGACAAGCCCTCAGCAGGGTGTTGGGGCAAGCTGTGGCCATGGGGCTTCTCACTGCAGTGCACAGTGTGGTGGGCTCCCTCTGGGTGCCACAGGGTAGGTACGGCTGCCCAGACCCTTCTGGGACCGGGGGCACAGGTGGAGGGGCTTTTCCCCGTCCAGCCTGGCTGACACTGCCCTGTCCCCACGGTGTTCTCAGCAGACACGCTGGTGGGGAAGATCGCCATCCCAGCATATGCCCTGAGCGACGACGACTGCTCCTCTGGGTACCAGCAGCTGAGTGTGGAGAGCGACCCCGAGGAGGGGGGCGAGCCCGGCCCCGCCGCCCTGCCCTGCCGCCAGTGCGGGCTGCAGCTGGCTGCCAGCCTGGGGCAGAGCTGCCTGCAGTGCGCCGGCGCCGAGGGCAGCCGCAGCCAGCGCATCGTCTACTCCTGCCAGCTCTGCCCCTTCGCCTCCCACTACTCCAGCCACCTCAAGCGCCACATGAAGACACACAACGGGGAGAAGCCCTTCGCCTGCCCGCAGTGTGCCTACGCCTCCGCCCAGCTGGTGAACCTGACGCGGCACCTGCGCACGCACACCGGGGAGAAGCCGTACCGCTGCACGTGCTGCAGCTTTGCCTGCAGCAGCCTGGGCAACCTCAAACGCCACGAGCGGGTCCACAGCCAGGACAAGCCCTTCCAGTGCGCTGCCTGCGACTACCGCTGCAACCAGAGCCGCAACCTGAAGCGGCACATGCTCAGCCACCGCCTGCCCGAGAGCGACGGCCCGCACCGGCGGGACAAGGACCCAGGTAAAGGTGGAGGGGTGTGGGGATGGGGGGAGAGCAGCTGGGAGGGCCCTGAGGCTGGGGCGGGGCACCGGTCCTGCCGTCGACCTGATGCCACGTACTGCCAGGCTCACTGGGGCTCCTCGCAGAGCCGATCCCCGCTGGTGCTGTGCCACCCTGCTCACAGCCCCGTCTGTCTGTCCCACAGAGCCGCTGCTGCCGGAGCTGAGCCTGCACGTGGGCAGCGGCAGCGGCCCCTTCCTGCCCGGCTGTGCGCGGCTGCGGGGCGAGGAGGCGGCTGCGCTGCCCGAGCTGCTCTTCCCCTTCACGTGCCGCATGTGCGGGCTGGTGCTGGACGACGGCTTCGCGCAGGACGAGGGCCTGGCCGAGCAGGTCTGCGGGCGCTGCAGCCTGGCAGTGCTGGGCACCGAGCCGGGCGCCAGCCCCCGCAAGGGCGCCGGGGACAAGGGCTTCGCCTGCAGCCTCTGCCCCTTTGTCACCCACTACCCCAACCACTTGGCACGGCACATGAAGACGCACAGCGGGGAGAAGCCCTTCGCCTGCCCGCTCTGCCCCTACGCCTCTGCCCACCTGGACAACCTGAAGCGGCACCAGCGCGTGCACACGGGGGAGAAGCCCTACAAGTGCCAGCTCTGCGACTACGCCTGTGGCAACCTGGCCAACCTCAAGCGTCACGGGCGCATCCACTCAGGCGACAAGCCCTTCCAGTGCAGCCTCTGCAGCTACAGCTGCAACCAGAGCATGAACCTGAAGCGGCACATGCTGCGGCACACGGGCGAGAAGCCCTTCCAGTGCCGGGACTGCTCCTACACCACTGGCCACTGGGACAACTACAAGCGCCACCAGAAGATCCACGGCCACACGGCCGAGAGCTGGGTGAACCCGCGCAATGCCAAAGCCCTCCTGGCCCCCCCAGCCGTGGGCACGGCCCTGCCTTGAGACAGCACTTAGCCCAGTGGCAGGCCTGGGGTGCCTCGGCCCCTGCCCTCCCTGGGGGAGGGAGGACGGGCAGGAGACTCTGCAGGGGCTCAGGGCTGCCTTACACCAGGGCCTCCAGCAGCCCTGTCCTGCCTGAGCAGGGTGAAGAGCAGGGAGAAGCCACGACCTGCGGCTCGGGCACCTGCCCCCACGGCAGCACTGCCATACCCCCAGCCACCCCACCTGCCTGTTCCTGCCTGCAGGAGCCTTTCTCTGCTGGGGTTTGGGGAAAGGGGTGGGGGGGGAGGACAGGACTGGTTCCATGGCTGTTGCCATGCTGGTCGGTGTAATTTATATTGTGTATAAAAGCATTAAACAGTCACTTTTGTTATCTGCTCTTCTCCCTGGGGGCCTTGTTCTGCCACAGGGAAGGACAGCACAGGGCTGGCACGGGGAAGGTTGGGACAGTGGGCACCCCCCAACAAACAGCCCAGTACCAATCAGGATCCATTTTAATCATCGTTGCAGTGTGTAAACATCAGTTACTGTCCATTAATGCTCTGTCGGGCTGAGCAGCAGGAGATACGTGGTTACAAGCCTAGATTACACTGGCATCTATGAGCGGGTTAGAGGGGGCTCGGCACGGAGCCCCCCGAGACAGCTTTAACTGCACTCTGTCTCGGAGCACAAACCTAAACACTAATTTGGCATTATGGAGCCTGCCCGGGGCCGCCCGGAGCAGCTGCCCCCAGGCTGGGCCAGGCCCTCCCGGCTGGGGAAGGGGCAGCTCTGCCCCCTGTGCTGAGCCAGGCCCCACGCCACTGCTCCAGGGCTCGGCCCGGGTGCGCTGCTCGGGTCTCCCAGCTGGAGCCAGCAGTGGGAGGAGTTCAGCTGCCCCCACCCCGAAGGCAACGGCGGGCTGGGGGCGAGCTCCCAGCCCCAGGGAGCAGGGGAAGGTGGATGTAGCAGGTGAGAGGCACGTTGATTGCAACCTGGCTGCAGGTCGTACATTCCTCAGCAAAGGCCCTCGCTCGGGCCCGGGGCTGTCCTGGGAAGGGGGGCACTACAGATCCTCATCGCCAATGCCCTCGAAGGCGTAATTGCCGTGGAAGTCGTTAGCGCCCACGTCGTTAGCAGAGCTGGAGTGGCTGATCCCACGAAGGCTGACAGAGGTGAGCTTGCTCTGTGGAGAGGGGAGATGTTACAGAGGACCCTCCTAACTCCCCTCCCTGCTCAGCCTGAGGGCACCGGCACACCCACACACAACTCACCGAGAGTTTGGCCATGGGCTCCCGGGAGGCGTCGGGTGAGTCCTGTGGGGACACGACAGTCAGGAGCTTGGGGTCGTAGGACACAACATCCACCCATCCCACCACCCACCCTCCTGGGATGAGGCCAGGCCACCTTCTGTCCTTCCCTCCCCCAGGGAATCAGGCTCACCGATGTGGGTCCAGGGCCTCTTTCCCTTCCCAGTCGTCTGGGAGCGGGGCACCACAGCCCTGCTGTCCCCTGAGCTCGCCCCAGCCCTGCCAAGGGGACAGTGGCTTCTCTGGGGGCAGTGGACTCTGTTACCCAACCCATGGTTGCGCGTGTGCCCCGCCCAGGCCCGCAGGGCCCACTCACCAGCAGAGGGGGTGACTTCACAGCTTGCTGGCTGTCCGAGCGCCGCAGGGCCCCGTTCACCCGCCGCCGAAACATCTGCAGGGAGGAGCTCAGCTCAGCCGCAGGGTCCCCGAGGCAGTTCCGGGGCTTAAAACAGGCCCTGGGGATCTGTCTGCTGGCCCCATCCTGAGGGGAGCACTCAGGGCCCAGCCCAGACCCCAAGAAGTCACAGGGGCAGGTTAGGATCCCACCCCGGAGACACCACCCAGCCCCAACTGTCACCTTGCGGATGCTGCCTCCAGACTTTTTCACCATTAGCTCATCCACCATGGACTGCAGGCAGATGCTCAGCATGATGGCCTGCAAGGGAGAGGTGTCACGGGGCTCCACACACCCCACACGCTTCCCACACCCACACCAGGCCCAGACCCACCCTCTTCCCCACAGCCACTGCCAGACCAGCATGCAGGCAGCCCTACCTGTGGGCTGGTGATGGTGACCCACTGCAACCGGTCCTTGCTCATCAGGTACTCAAAAGCCAACTCCAGCTTCACCTCGGACTTCCCTGGGCTGCTCCCTGAGGGGCCGTTGCTCATTGGCACCTGCAAGGGCACACGCTGAGGCTGGGAGCCTCCAGAGGGGGAATGGCAGCTCCCCAGGCCCCAGTGCAGACTGAGGGCAGTGCTCAGTCAGCTGTGGGACGCTTGCCCAGTGCCCACCAGCCTTCCACCACCATCAGCTCCCCTCGAGCCCCTTGAATGTCCTCACACCAACGATACCCTCAGCCCTAAGGTACAACTCAGACCCTCCCCAGGCCTGCTGGGTTGGAAGCCAGCGTCAAAGCCAGCACCTTTCCTGGGGAGAGGTGGCACAGCCAGGCCCCTCCAGCCCCCCCAGAGCCCTCCCTGCTCCCCAGGCGTCACTCACCGAGGACGTGACCCTCCAGCACCGCATGCGCGTGACCTTGAAGCTGCCCTCCTTGATCTGCTCGTTGGGCAGCCGCACCTGGAAGTTGAGCTCGTTGTTGCCGGCGCTGACGACGACGTGGCAGCCCTTCTCCGGGAAGTCGGTGACGCAGGGGTCGAACTTGAGATAGCCGTAGTACTTGAGGGTCTGCGCCAGGCGGATGAACTGCGGGCAGACCCGGGGATGCTCAGCACCGCCGGCCGCCCGCCCAGGCCAGGAACAGGTGACCAACCCGGCACCACACAGGAGCAGGGCTGGTGCAGCACCAGGACCGCCCCGGTCACGGCATCAGGCCCTCCCCTACCTCCTTCTTGGAGACTTTTTCCTGCAAGGACTTCAGCTGCCGGTGCTGCTCCTTGTTGACCACGATCCATCCGTGCTCGATGTCCGACACCGTCTACCAAGCAGCAGAGGCTGTGAGCAGCCGGGCTCAGAGCCACCCGAGCCCACACACAGCCGTGGCTGAGGGGTGCAGTGCCCCTCCTCACCTGGCTGGGCCACACCGACCCTCACCTGCGCATACAGCAAGTTCAACCCCACGCGATGCTCCATCACATCGTCATCGTAGGCCGAGTCCCAGTAGCTGGAAGAGAACCACATGGGTCAACCTATTCCCCAGCTCCTAACAGCGATGGGGAGAACATCATCCTCCTGTGGGATGAGGCACCAGGCTGACTCTGGCCAGCTCTCCTGTTGGTCACCATGCCCTGCTCCCCCTCTAAACAGGCTGCCATGGGAAAGCAGAAATGGGCTGAGCCAAGCAGGGCAGCCCCTGCCCCGGTGTCGTGGCCAGGTGTGTTCCTGGAGGCCAAAGCCCACGTGGGCAGCAGTGGCAGGAGAGCAGGGTCCCTCTGCTGAACGGGGAGCCTCAGACAGCACCCCACTGCTGCCCCCCGCTCACCTCTTGCGCAGGATGATCCGGAACTCGGGGTTGTGCAGGCTGGTGACCGACACGTACGGCAGCTCAAACTCCTGCAGCTTCCGCACGACTGTGGGGAAACACCAGCTCAGCACAGCTCAGGGCAGCAGTGCCCCCCAGACCCCTCAGCCAGGGTGCCTGGGGGAACCCACCCAGGGGAGGGTCCAAGCACACAGCCCTCCCTCCGGGCAGGGTACAGGGCAGATGTCCACTGCAGTTGGGTTTTACTCACAGGAGAAAGCTCCATCCTTGGTCTCTCTCACTAGGAAGAGGCTGAAGTAGCCAACCAGGTCATCTGGCAGATCCAGCTTGGAGGCTACAGCCTGGGAGTGAGAGCAGGAGGTCACCACTTCCCGAGAGAGGTGGCACTCCTGCATCCTGACCCTGGAGCAGGACCCAGCCCACGTGCTTTCTGGGGCCTCTCAGCAGCAGGAAGCCAGCACCTCTGCTGCCCTGAGGCAAGGCCTGGGGCGTCACTGCCACCAGGAAACAGCTGGGGGCCCCCTCGACATCAGTGTGGCCCCAGAGACACCCATCAGCACACCCTTTCCAGCTCCCAGCTCTTCAGTCCCGCCAAGTCAACCCTGCTCTGGGGTGGGGATGTGGCAAGGAGGGCCCGGGGGGGGGCTGCTGGGCTGCGAGAACCCCACACATGTGGGAGACCACAGAATGCAGCAGGAGGAGCTGGTCACACCCAGCACGAGAGCTCTGGCACCTCAAGGACGTCCTCCGTCTGGTCCGAGGTGAGGATGGTGACCTTGACCTTCTGCCCATTGGAGAGCAGCACTTCCAGCACCACCTCCTCCGTAGGGATCTGCTGCGTCTCCTGGAGAGAGAAGCAGCACTGGCACCCCGGCCCCTGGGTGCAGCCCGAGGGCCCCGCCCTGGCCCCACCCTCACCTGCTGGGCCTTGCGCAGGAAGCTGTTGAAGGTCTCGCTGCCTCCCAGCATCGGGTCCTGCCGCACTGCGGGGAGGGGAGCGAGGAATCAGGAGTCCCTGAGAAGGGACAGGGACCCACACCAGTGCCCAGCCCCTCTGCACTCCTCGGTTTGACCCCAGACCGTGCTGAGGCAGCCAGGGACCCCCTCTGCCTGCGCAGGGCAGGGGCTGGGACAGCAGCTGGCATCCAGAGGACAAGCCCAGCTAATGCCAGCATGACACTGGGAGTGCCAAGATGGGCCCTGGCGAATGGAGCAGTTCAGGAGGAAGCCACGGGCAGTGCCCTCAGTGCCCTGCAGGCCTGGGCTGGGGCAGGCAGGCCAGCTTACCAGCCTGCATGTACTTCTCCAGCTGCTCCCGCCGCTGCTCTACCTCCGCCGGGGTGAGCGTGAAGATCTTCTTTGGGGGAAAGGCTGGGACCACGTTGGCACCATACTCCTTCCTTAACTGGGAAAAGAGCAGAGTGCTGCGAGAACCTCCCTGGACGTGGTGGCTGCCCCGAGCCCCCGCCACAGCTGTCTCCCAGGGACCCAGCAAAGGGGAGCAGAGAGCTCACCAGCATCCCTCAGCCACGTGGGCAACCTGCAGTGTGCAAGAGCCCAGCCGGGCCATCAGAGAGCAGGAGTGGGCAGCGCAGCCTCCCCCGCCCTCCCTACCTGCTCGTGCAGCCCCAGGAGCTGGCTGTAGCGCACCCGGCAGTGCAACACCCCATTCACGTGGATGTTGTAGGCCTGCAGGGAGAGATGCCAGTCAGACCCCAGCACGCGCTGCATGGAGGGGGCCCAGGGTCTGCCCAGCTCGAGGCACACGGGACACCTCAGGGAGCACCCAGGAAGAGGCACATCCAAGAGACGTGTGTGCTGGACGCCAGGGAGGCCCAACCCTGTGACTGCCCAGAGCAGAGCCATGTTGCAGCCCCGCAGACACGAGTGTCCCCAAGCCAGGAGGCAAGGCCACCCCTCCC